GACTTTACTTAAAGTATAATTTCCTGACATTTAAAATGATAGATGTAGCAGCTAAAAAATAGAGTTCTGAATCATCTGAATTTATGTGATAGCTGAAGTCATGAGATGGGGGATGTATGTACCCCAAGGAGGATACAGAAAGAAGAAAAGTGTGCTGGAAACAGCACGTCAGTTGTGCCAGCTGAGGGCTGGAGGCAGCCAAGAGAGTTGGGAGCCTGGGTGTTGGGTGGAGAGAGCTTAACAGGGATGACACAGGAAGTAGTGTGAAGACTAGTGTGAGCAGAGGACTACTCTGACCGTGTTGGAACATAGAGCCATCTGACAGATTGACAATGCAGTGAAGGCTGTACAGAATGTTTTCAACATGTGGACAGGTTGAAAAGACTAAGGTGAGGATTTTCTTGGTGGGAGTTTATGCTTTTGTTTAACATATTTTGCTTCCAAAGGGGTTAAGATGTTTTGCCTAAATGGAGGTTTCTAGGTCAGTGCTATGCAATATTTCTAATCTATATTTTATAGTGTGGGTTACATATATAATTTTTAAATTTTCTAGTAGCCACATAATAAAGAAAACAGGTGAAATTTATTTTAATGACACATTTTCTTTAATACGGTATATCCAAAATATTATTATGTCAACCTGTTAGTGAAAAACCTATTAGTGAAATATTTTATATGACCCATCTCAGTTCAGACTGGTCACATTTAAGTGTTCTGTAGCCACATGTGGCTCATGGCCATCCATATTCAGACAGTGTACTTTAGACTATTGCATCTGTGTATACACTTATGCCCTCAGTTGGGGGATGGGGTGTGAGTATATGTGCACCAAGGCAGTGAGCATCTGAGCTTGGAACCTCAGAGACCAAGATGCCCTGCCCATTTCCCTGCTTATCAACTGAGGAATCTTTACTCACATTGGCACACGGGCTTTTAACCCCAATACACGCAGGCTTCCAGAGCAGATTCAGAGGCCTAACTTAGTCCTTTAGCTCCCCTCCCAGCACAGAACCCCCAAGGTTATCTGAAAGTAGGCCTTGCCGTAGAGAGACTGAGTTTTCAAGTTGTCAGTTTTCCCAAATGGTCCTGAAGCATCTTCCTCAAAAATCACCTAATTCTGTTCAGGAAACATTCAGAGGACTTGGTACACATCTGGGCAATCTGCATGGTAATTCATACGTGTTTACACACTTGCGTCTTCATCTGCTAAATCACCTTTGAACCATATTGTAATGCATAATATCTGAAGCAATTATTGTGAATTGTAGTGATTCATAATATTGAAACAATTCATAATATCTGAAGCAGTCCCCAGATACGAGTTAGGCATAGCCCTGCTCTGAGCCAGATGGCAAAAGTGGCAGTCTATGATGCAACCCTTGTTACCCCAGACTATTACTAAATGGTGTTGGTCGTTTTGTTTTATCTTAATTAAAATGACATGACCAACAATGGCCCCTTTCCTGTCTCCCAGGAAGAGTTTTCTGTAGTGACACATGTGTATGTGTGTGTGTTTGACGCCATATTACTCATTGCTACAGCAGTTCAAAATGACTTGGAAAAAACAATGAACGCTGGTCATTGATATGTATACTGACGTGTTTAAGGGAAGTTACTGAGGTCTGTAACTTAACGAAATAAACAATAAACTGGGTGGAGTGACAGACATGTGGAGAGGTATGAAGCAAGCACTGTAAAATACTAGTGGTAGTTTTGTATGCCCATGCAGAACCCTTATTCACAGTAGCTAAGAGATGGAAGCAATATGTGTCCATCAGTGGGTGAATGAATCAACAAAATGTGGTGTATGCATACAGTGGAATATTATTCAGCCTCTAAAAGGAAGATACGCTGACACATGCTACAACATGGATGAACCTTGAGGACATGATGCTAAGTGAAGTATTTGTTTTTGTCACCAAAAGACAAATACTGTATGCTTCCATTTATATGAGGTATCTAGAGTAGTGAAATGCATAGAAACAAAGTAGAATGCTAGTTGCAAAGGACTAGGGAAGGAGGAAATGAGGAGTTGTTCAGTGGGTATAGTGTTTCAGTCTCACAAGGTAAAAAGTCCTGGAGATTGGTTGCACAGTTATGTGAATAATGTATACTGACTGAACTGTACACTCGAAAATGGTTTAGGTGATAAATGTTATCTTTATCACATTTTTTTAAAGCATGGTAGACACCATTTCCCAGGATGTAAATTGGTACTAAAGAAAGAAAAAAGTGCTTCAAAGTAAGCCATATTTGGCAAACACAGGGCTAACTAAAGTTAGATAGGTATCTTTATTGCAGGATTTCTAAGAGCATTTAACAAATGAATTTACACTGGGAATTTTCAGTGTGGAAGGTCTGGCTCATAGCATTTCACTAAACAAGCACTAAACTTCAGGGTCCCAAACCCTTTAAATAAAATGTTAAATGAAATGTTAATGATGGAAACTCTTTAAGGGGTGTTGACTATACAATCTTTCAACTTTTCTGCATGCTGGAAGTTTTTTGTAACATGTTGAGGAAAATGGCCTTGGAATATTTCATTCATATTGGAGCCAAGCTAACACAAAGCTATTGCTGCTGGTGGGAACAGCCCTGATGTCCATGTACCAAGCTGCCCGCCCCAACTCCTTCCCTTCCTCTTCTCATCCACTTCTAGGATTAACAGGAAGGGAGATGGAGAGCCCAGCTCAGGTCTAGTTGGGCCACAGCAGAAGGAGGGCCAGGGTAGAGGTTTGGGCCTTGGCTCTAATGCTTGAACGTAAACATACCTAGTCAGAAGTACATCAGTGTAAAGTAGGGCCTACAAAATGATAAGGTCAGAAAACAGGTGAGTGGTTACCAGGGGCTGGGAATGGGGAGAGGAGTGACTACAGAGGGCAAAGTATAAATGACCCAGGTTCTTCAACATGGAAGCCTGTGGATTGAAAGATACCTGAGATGTGTGACTCCAGTGCAATGTATGCACCTTGTTTGCATCCTGATCTGAACTAGCCAATCAATCTTGTATAAATGTACTTATGGGACAATAAAGTGAATTTGAACTCTGACTGGATATTTGATGATGTTAAGGAAACAGCATTTAAATATATGACAGTGGGGCTGTGGTTATGATTGGTTTTGTTTTTTTTTTCCCTAGAGACTGGGTTTTGCAGTGTTGCCTGTGATGGTCTTGAACTCCTGGGATCAATCAGTCCTCCCACCTCAGCCTTGGTTTCTTTAAAACAAAAAAAAGTTCTTTTGAATCATAATTGCAGGATTTATGGGTGAAATGAAGTAATGTCTCGTTTCATAATGATTGTGTGGCGAGGACTCGGTGGGTTGTAGATGTGTGGATTATTAATGAAGATGGGCAGTAGCAGGGGGGTCATATTATTCTAATTTTTTAATATATTAAAATTTTCCTTATAAAAATTGTTAAATGAAGAAAGAATGAGCATATCCATAAGTCAAATACAAAAAAGTGTTACATTGTAAGGAATTCTTTCCCTTCTAGCATGTAGTGGATGGTTCAGTATTAAGCCTCTGCCATGATTAAACAAGAGACTGGCACTCCAAGGACAATGAGGCTGAGACCAGAAGAGAAACAATGTTGGATGGCTGCATGTGGTTGGTGGATAGAGGATTCTGAGGCCCACACTGAGGTGGACTCAGAGATCTGGGACCGGGGCTGGGTGCGGTGGCTCACACCTGTAATCCCAGAATTGTGGGAGGCTGAGGAGGGTGGATCACTTGAGGTCAGGAATTCGAGACTAACCTGACCAACATGGTGAAACCCCCATCTCTACTGAAAATACCAAAAATATTAGCCGGGTGTGGTGGCTAGTTTTACACTGCGCCTATAATCCCTCCTGCTGCGGAGGCTGAGGCAGGAGAGTTGCTTGAACCCAGGAGGCAAGGTTGCAATGAGCCGAGATCGAGCCTCTGCACTCCAGCCTGGATGACAGAGTGAGACTCCATTTCAAAAAACAGAGATTTGGGACCCAGAACTGAGTGAAGACACCAGAGTGAAGGAGAGAGCCCTCCTGCTTTGACAGAGAAGCTCCTCCTGGGGTGGAAGAGAGAGCTCCACAAAGGCTGCTCTTACAGGGGCTGCCCTGCAGCCAGGTGCCTGCTGACTGTTCCCAAACTGTCCCCCAACACAGAGGAATGCAAAGGCAGCGTCTTCCTGCTCAGCCCCATCTTTCCCCTTCCACTCCACACTCACTTCTGCCCTGCTGCCCTTAGGCTTTGCCTTTTGCTAACATTTTCCCCTCCATCTTTTCTCCTGCCCAAGTTCTAGGAATTTTGTAGGGCAGTAGGTGAGGGTTGGAACCTGTACTCAACAGAAACCTGGCTTAAACTGGCTATCACTCTGGGCAAGCTGTTCTCATCTCTAAAAGTGGAGGTAAGATTAGTGTATGAGTCTGGCTTCCATTCAGCTGTGTGTGAAAGAAATTGTAAAATGTTCTTTCTGGTTTACACAGGTTAAAAGTTTATTTCTCTCATATGAAAGGAATCAAGACAGGCTGACCAGGATAGGCTGGGAGACGTTTACAGGATCCAGCCTCTTATTTCGCTCTCTGTTGACCTCAGTATGGGGCTTTCACCTTCCAGGATGGCTGCTTAGCCGCTTGCCATGATCTTTGCATTCCAGCCAGCAAAGAGGAGGAAGGCATAAAGAAAGGCCTGCCCCAGGCTTTAAGAACACTTCTTGGAAGTCCCATACCATTTTGCTTAATCTCCTTAGCCAGAATTTAGTGTTGTGGCCATAGTTAGCATCAGGAGGAGCTGGGAAATTAAGTGTTTATTGCAGATGGCCATGTGCTCAGCAGAGTACTGTTGCCCAGGCTGGAGTGCAGTGGCAAGGTCTTGGCTCACTGCAACCTCTGCTTCCAGGGTTCGAGTGATTCTCCTGCCTCAGCCTCCTGAGTACCTGAGATTATAGGCACACATCATCACACCCGGCTAATTTTTGTATTTTTAGTAGAGATAGGGTTTCTTTTTTTTTTTTTTTTCAGTCTCAATAGAGACTGTCAAAAATTGCCAATGCCTACTGTATTGCAAGTTGTCATGGTGGGGTATTGGGAAAAGTTTTCAATTAGCAATAACTGTGCCTCAGATAAACCTCATTGGCTATGATACTGCCGCTGTGCAGTTTGGAGATGGGGTTTCACCATGTTGGCCAGGTTGGTCTCGAACTCCTGACGTCAGGTGATCCACCTGCCTTGGCCTCGCAAAGTGCTGGGATTACAGGCATGAGCCACTGTGCCCGGCTGTTACTATTTTAAATAGAGACAGGGTCTCACTGTGTTGCCCAGGTTGGTCTCGAACTCCTGGGCTCAAGCCATCCTTCTGTCTTGGCCTCCAAAAAGTGCTGGGATTATAGGGGCGAGCCACCATGCCTGGCCACATGGCAGCTTTCCCGAGGCTGTCCTCCCTCATTGCCATAAGAGGAATGCAAACAGCTCCTACATTACTTTTTTTCCTTGTTAATATGAAACAAAATAACCCTGAGCATTAGATCTCTAACTTTACTCTGACTCAACCATTCCTCAACTAGTTACAGTGGTCAGGGGAAAGCCAGATGTTGAGTAGCTTGGGCCTGCCCATCTGATGTAACGAGCTGTGAGATCACCTATTCTGGATAAGGAGCAGAGGCAGAGGCAGAGTAGGTCGCAGTGGGACCACATAGCTGCTCTAATGTGGTGTGGTTTTCCAAAGCAAAATCAGAGGGACCAATGGATACAGGATATGCAACCAATGCAAGCTCCCTATACAAGCCTGCTAAAGCCTAAACACCTGGGAATCAGATGGTTCCCAGTGTATTGTCACAGCATCTGGCAGTGTATTGTCACATATTTGCTGAATTCAGGAATGAATGAGTTTGGCAACACTGATGGCTGGTGGAGGAGCATTCTCCAATGTAATCTGCCAGTCAGTAAATAGAATATCTGAGATTCCTGTCTTGGTGGCATAAAGGGGTAAGGGGCAAAGAGTAGGAGGGAGGTGCTAGCAGAGAAGGGACCAAGAAGGGGCTCTCCTATCCCAGTGGACCTGCTCATGAATGAACACAGAAGTGAGCCCCCAGAAATACTGCACCAGGAAGACTGCTGCTCTGGGCCCTCCACCCTCTCAGTCCTGTGGTCTGCCTAGTACTGGCGGGTTTGGTTGTTTTGAACATTAGATATAATGGAGCCTTGTTCCCAGTCAAGTCATGATGTTGAACTGCCCTTTTAGCTTCTATTCACAGGAAAGTTCTTGTATCACTCTAGGGCAGGGAGCTTCCTGGGTTTTCTGATCTTTCTTTTCACTGCTCTCAGTTTTTACCAGGGCACTCTGCCAGTCTTTGAAGAGAAACTTGCTCCCATGCTGTGTCTGTCTCACTACTTCCTGTGCCAACACTCTTCTGACTTTCTAGGTACTAGCATCTAGGTCTGTGAGTTCTCATTTTTGGAAAAGTGTGCATTTCACTCTAGTAGGAAACAATTTTATTATCCAAACCAAATTCAGCCTTCTTGGAAATTCCTACCTCCTATCCTGATAATTTGGTGGGAAGTTTGGTTCCTCATAATTGCAGCCCCCAACTGTAGGTTGGTGTGAAAGTAATTGCGGTTTTTGCCATTTTGATGCAAAAACCGCCATTACTTTTGCACCAACCTATTATCTTCCAGTGGGAGGACAAGGTTTTCAGGGGGTTCAGTAGTGAGGAAACCTCTACCCCTCCTCTCCATTTAGGACTTGACCATTAGAATGGAGCTGCCATCCCCACCTGGATAATGGAGCTGTTCCTGCGTAGGCTACTGCACACTGCCTACCCAACACGTTTAACAATCTGTCCTAATGGTTGAAGTTTAACACTTGTCTTAACTGGCCTTATGGCCTTAGATATTGCCAAAGTGATCTCTTCTGACTCTGTTCCCTGCTTCTTTAACTGAAACTTCCCACCTGTGGCATAAGACAGAGACCCTTTAAGTGCCACTGTCCCCAGGGCTCTGCCCTCTTTCCCTAAACACTTCATAGCTCCGGAGGTGACCTGTCCACAAGCCCCTCACATGACTCAAGTCTCCAACCACAGACACTCTGTCCCTCTTGAGCCTTGAATCTCCACTGAGATATCCTGAACCGAGTTCCATATTGTCTCCCTATGCTTGAGACTCCCTGTGTCCACACAGTCTCCCAATCTGACAGCCCCAAGTAACCTTGGGCCAGTCCTCAGTTCCATTAGTCCCTGAATTTCATCACTTCTGCACGCTCTGGGCCTCAGACCAGGCCCTCACTGCCCTTCACCAGGACTTTTGCCCAGCCTCTGCCAGCAGTGCTGCCTGCAACCTCCCCACACCCACCTCCTCCACTGCCGCCTGGGATCTAAGCACACCCCTGATCCCGCCACTCTCAGGAGGAGACTCTAGAGTGGTCCTGTCCCTTCTGGACCAAGGCCAGCTTTTTCCTCTGTACCGTAAAGTCTGACCCCTCTTATTTCTCTCACTCCCTGTCCCACTTATCCCTACAGAGCTGCAGTCTGTGCTCCAGCTTCATTAAAAATCCTGCATCTGGAAATTTCTGAGCCTTTTTGCACCTCTAGGCCTTTGAATATGGAATGCTGCCCTCCCTCCCCCACCTCCTCCTCCAGGACCTGCAGGCAGGTCTCCCAGCAGCCCCAGGTGGGGGAGGCTCTTTACCCTCAGCCTGGACCTTTGTGGGAAAGACTCTTCTCTAGCACTTGGCAGCTGGAGGGGTGACCTGACTGTGAACCTATCTCCTTCCCCATCCCAGGAGCCTCTCAGGCACAGAGACTGACTTGCTGACGGTTGTCTTCCCAGTGCCTACCCTGTTTGTAGCAGGGCACAGCTGCCCAGTGGACACTGAATGAATGCCTCTGCCAAAAGCGCTAGTAATTTTCAAGTGAATCTTTTCTGGTGTTTCAAGCCTGGACAGTTGCAAGAGGTTATGCTCCCAATTCTCACAGGCTCATCCAGCCTGCTCATGGCCATTGGATAGTTCTACCTAAATCACCCATAGGGCACTTTCTAGCTCCCAAACCTGCCTTTCTTTCTTTTTCCACTGCCAACTCGGAGCCTAACTAACTCCGTAAGGACTCATTCATTTTCTGCTAAGTGAGTGAGTGAATGAATGAACTAATGAATGAATGGAAGAATACATGAATAAATGCTTTGTATGTAGTAGAGATTCTTGCAAATGGAGCCCATTGCAAGGAGACACTGGGGGTGGGAGTTGTTAACCTGGGAGCAAGGGGATTTGGGGAAGCATCATCAGGAGGTAGAGAATCAGTCTCAGTGACCCACACCAGGGACTAAGATTCACACAGCGGGAGAGATTTAAAGTACAAAATTGAGGGCATCTCACCTGTCTGCCCAACTGGCTCATAGATACATAATTTTTTAAGTTCTTGGGTGAGAAAGGGCTGCAAGTGGGAATTGAAAGAGCTGTTTTCCTACTAAGCTGTAAACTTTAGGTGCAGAAGCTGGCCTCCTGGGATCTCAGCATGGACCAGCTCAGGTTGCTTGGAAGCTCCAAGGCCAGCAGCTTTACCAGGTGAGGGGTGGCAGTGGTAGCCTGTAGCACAGGGCCCAGGAGATCACTGCTCTCCCCAGGTCAGTCTTTCCTTGGTGGAGATGGAAGGCCTGCTTAAGGCAAGGTGAGAGCGAGCAATCTGACTTCTGATAGTCTCTTTCTGATAGGAGAGGCCCAGGGAATCTTGGTTAAATGCACCTAAGGGTGCCAGTTAGAAGCCAAGACTCCTAGTCTTCCTCACATCCCCTACTCCTCCTATCTTGACCGGCTCACTGCTATGGCCCACTTCAAAGGCTTCCTCCTTTGGGCTACCTTCTCTGGATACCTTGCTAGGAAGTAGCCCCTTCCTCTCTTGCAATTCTATACCTGCATCCTGAACCAGTGCTCCCTGGGCACTCAGCCCACATTGCCTTGTGGCTACATATATGGTTCACTTTCCTACTTAGCTGTAGATACAATATCTTCACATCCACCCTCCCAAGCACACAGTGCCCTAGATGGGCATAGCCAACTGCTTTAAAGTATTTCTTGATTAATGGTAGCTCAGTGATTTTTAATACCCTAGGGGGTTCTGCACTGACTCGGCCTATTCCAATCCATCACTAGGCAAGCTTCTCTGAAGCAGCACCCCCATGGACTGGTGGTTTGTTTGTTGGCTGCAGAACTCTTTGAGGGCAGGTGCTCCTTACATTCCCAGGGAAATGACCTAGGACCTCCCTCTTCAGCGTGCCATTCATGAATGGGCTCCCCTGTCTGTAAGAACTAACTCCTAGATCTGCATATTTAATTACTGAACGATCAGGACAGGTAAGAGTGTACACAGTGCAGTGCCTGGCACAGAGTGAGGCACTGTAACTACCTCTTGTTATTAGTGCTGCCCAAAATCACATTTACAGAAGACAGTCCAGCATCCAAAGTGCCTGCTTGAAGCATGGCCAGAAGGCAAGCAGATGGTGGGGTGGGCAGTGATGTCAATGAGTGAATGCCTGCATTCATCCATCAGTATATTCACTTCTCCCCAAACAACTGTGGGTGTTTGTCGAGTAAGATTCTGGCCATTCAGCAGTGAGGGAGAGAGCTGGGGTGGTTGGTGGGCAGAGGCCACTGAGGAATACAGGTGCCTGGGCATGGCCTCTAGCGCTGCAGTCCACAGACCCCGGGTCTCCAACCAGAGGCAAATGAGCTCTCAATGGCGGGTCTTTCCTGGGGTCTGACCCGGAAAGCCAGGACTGCGAGCTGCATTCTCATGGCTCTCACGCTGGGCATCCATATGCATCATGCATCAGTAAGGGTCCGAGGGCATCTGCGGTCCATACCCTGGGTGATAGCTGGCCTCGATGCAGCACAGGTTGAGATCCTGGGGCATGGGCGCCCTTCTCACCTCGTCCCCAGCCTCGCCACCTGTATACCTCAACGGCCTGTGGGCTGCCTGCACTTGGGCGCCCGCCTTGGATTATCTGAGCCTGCCTCAGAGTTATCTCCCCATGGGCCCCCAGCACCTGCTGTCCATCTGCAGCGGGTTCCCCACCGCCCCAGGCATTGGATTCCTCACGAGGTACCTCGCCTAGGCATGCAGTACTTTCTTGCTTCCACCCCATTCCCAGCAGCGGGCTCCGCACCTGGGATCGCACGTGAGATTCCCCCCACCCCGCAACCTCAAGTCTGGGCTCTACTTTCTACACCTGTCCCCCCAACCCTACATCCCTCCCAGCACTTCCTGCACATAGGTTTGGCCAGATCCTCCCTATTGAAGACAGAGCTGCAGTGCCTCCGGCGCTCTGGGAGCAGGTGCGAGTGGGGATCGGAGGAGGCGCTCTTATTCCACTTTCTGTCCGGGACAGAGGCAGCTTTGCCCTAGGGCACTCTCGCCTCAATAGGGAGGGCCCGGCCACAACCCATGTGCGGGAGGGGCGGTGCGGGATGCAGGGGTGGGGAGGCAGATGCAGGAAGTAGGGCCCAGTACGCGGTTGGGAGGAGTGGAAGCTCAGCTCACGCGGATCCCAGCTGCTGGACCCGCTCCGGGGGAAGCCCCCGACCTTCCCGGTTCCGATGGTGCGCAGCCACTGAGAACTTATTAGCCTCGTGGATCCCCAATCTTTCCCCTTTGCTCAGCTCTATTTTCACAAACAGCAAGCACACGCCCGGCTGGGTGGCACCCACCCGAGAACGCCCCCAACCCAGTTCTCGCCAGACGCTGGTCCGTGCTTGAGAGGGTGAGGGTCCCGGGACCCCTGCCAGGAGGAGGGTCGCGGGGTTCCAGGAGGCCGAGCAGGAAAGAGCATCTCCTTGCTTCTTCCACCGGCCTCTTCGCGGGGCATAGCAATAAACTTGGCATTCCAAGGGTCTGGGAACATCTTCGTAGGACCCATCGAGAGATTGTTTAAAAGCAGGCACCCGCTCCCGCGCCCAGGTGGGAAAGAGCAGGCCAGAGGTGAAAGTCCAGGCGTTTGCGCGCAGGCCTGCCCCGTGGGGCGCCACATGTGGGGCGCGGATTCCGAGAGGCTGGAGGCTGGCGGCCGAGGAGGCGAGGCGGGGGCGGAGTCGCCGTGGGCCGGCCTCGCGCAAGTCCGGGGCCCGGCCAGCCTGGATGGACAACCCCGGGCCATGGCCGGCGCGGCGGCGGAGTCGGGGGCCTTCGCGATATCCTGGGATCCGAGCGCGCCGCGGCTGGCCTACGGCTACGGCCCGGGCAGCCTGCGCGAGCTGCGGGCGCGCGAGTTCGGCCGCCTGGCAGGTGAGGCCGGCGGGCGGGCAGGCGTGGGGGACACGCGGTTTCAGGAACCGACTTGGACGGAGCTTTTGCTCCTGGGGCTACCTCATTTGGGGCGCATTTTGAATTGAAACTTCAGGAGGGACGTGTCCACGCTTCCGCTTCGCAGACGCGGCTCCCCGCAGCAGACTTTTACTACTCTTACTCTTCAGACTTTTCAGTGGGCAGGACCAACGGAGCCCTGTGCCCCTTTCCCCGCCCTCCTGGAGCAGGGCTTCGATGGTCCTTGCCCTCTCTCGTGGGAGACCCCTCACTCTAAAAATCCTGCTGGGGCCGGGGTTGCCAAAGACAGCATGTCCAGCGGCCTTGACCCTTCGGATGTCCGCAGCGGGTAGGAGAGGCGCATGGGCCCCTAGCGCCAGGTTAGGGCCGCGCCTTCTGCTGGGGTAGCCCGTATTCAATTTTGATTTTCGAAACCTCATTTTCCTCATTCTTGCAGCGTCAGAACAATCCCTCTGAGCTCCACCTCGCTGGGGGACTAGGAGAATTAGCAAACAGTGCAATTTCACCTTTAAGAACAGGGCAAGCCTGTGAATTGGATAAGAAGACCAAGATCACATCGTGCCTTTCCTCAGAGAGGAAAGTGCTGATGAACTTGCAAATCAAGCTCCATCTGGCCTTGGCCCACCCGGCCCTCTACTGCCGGAGTCCAAGCTTGTGACTCATCCCTGTGCCAGGGACCTTGAGTGCAGGGCTTCACTGAGCCCCAGAGCCGCGTGCCAGGCAGTCAGTGAGGTTCTGCAGGTGAAGTGGGCACGTCGTGGCCCAGGGCACCTGCAGTGATGAACAACTGGTGACTGCTCCCCTTGTTCGGGGCAGAACAGCAACCACGACTTAGGTTTCACTACTCGGGTAGCTGATTTCAGCCCTTTGGGTGACTTCCTGGTGTTGTGGAGGTTATGTTTTCTCTTTGGGGGCTGTGAGGACTGTGGCCTCCTATGTGTCTCCTCTGGCTTCTTAGGGAGAGTCAGGAGGGAGAACGGGGTGCCTTCTGCCAGCCTCTCTATTCCCTCCTCATCCTTCCCTGTCTCAGGGTCACCTGCTGGAGACAGCCCCTCACCCTTCTGCTTTCATGTTCTCTCTCTCAACTGCTAATTATGGAAATTTCCTACGACTGAGAAATAGACGGATACTATGAATGCCCACAGGTGGTGGGGAGGGAGGCTCTCCATTCTTTGAAGCAACTCTTAAAAGCTGCCTGAGTAATCATTTCAGCACCACGCCTTCTTAATCCCCCAAATTTCCTCCAGCTGTGCTCTCTCACTCCCACTGTTGACCTACCTCTTCCCTCAATGCTACCCTGGGAGAGTAGAGCTATATTCTGGTCCCCTCCTGGTTTCATTCTTGTCCCTCAGAGAACAGCACTTTTTCCCTCAAATGTAAAATTGGGGTGTGTCATCTAGGCTGGCCCTCAGAATACTGCTTACTGTATTTGTGGTAGTGTTGTGGGCAACTTTTTTTTTTTTTGAGATGGAGTCTGGCTCTGTCACCCAGGCTGGAGTGCAGTGGCACAATCTCGGCTCACTGCAGCCTCCACCTCCTGGGTTCCAGCAATTCTCCGGCCTCAGCCTCCCGAGTAGCTGGGATTACAGGCACATGCCACCATGCCCGGCTAATTTTTGTATTTTTAGCAGAGATGGGGTTTCACCATGTTGGCCAGGCTGGTCTCGAACTCCTGACCTCATGTGATCCACCTGCCTTGTCCTCCCAAAATGCTGGGATGACAGGCATGAGCCACTGTGCCTGGTCGTGGGCATATGCAAGTTCCTCGTATTTTCTCTGCTATGGTTGAAGTGGAGATTTGTGCACTAATCTAACGCCCCTCCCGCTGCTGGGAGCCTTGGAACATGTCCACTTGTTTTTCTCCTGGAAGGGCAGGAAAAAAAACCCAAAATAATATCACCTCTTCCTCGCTCCTCCTCTCCCTCATGAAGTTTTTCTTCCAATTTGAGAATTTCTCTGGTTAAGTGGTAGCTCAGGATAATTAAATACTTAAGGTTTAAGTGCTGAAATGTGTTACCTAACTATTTGGAGGGGAACTTCCTTGCTTTTGTCAAGGGACCATATCGAATATATGGATGTGTGTCAAGGGTCTCTGGAAGCCTTCGTGCTGAATGATGACCACTCACCCTGCTGGAATGAGACCTGGAGGGGGATGATCCAGAGTTGACCCTGAAATTCTCTTTCTTGAAGAAGGTCTGATGCCATTTAACTTTGGGGCCATTTTCCTGCTTCTCATAACAGCTACTCCTGTGTTCGAGCATTGGACTGGGTACTGCCATATACCAGTTCATTTAACCTTTATCCCATCTTGCAGATAAAGGAACAGGGGCCAGAATGGCTAGTGGTGGAGGCAGGATTCAAGTCTGGGTTGATTGACTTGGATTCTATACCATTAACCCCTATGCTGCCTGACCTTCTTCTAATATTACATCTATGGCTGATCACACACAGCTTTCCCACGCTTTTGTTTTTTCCTGCAAAATTAACTGTTGGGCCCAAAGCCAAAGCACCCCTTTTTCTCCAATGGCTTCTTGGACCTGCAGAAGACTGTGGCACAGCGTGAGACGGTCCCAGCAACTTCCAGGTCTCACCTGTGGCCTTGATGCCTGGGTGAACAAAAGCCTTTCTTTTGGTTTGGTACCTTTGTGTTTCTGAATCTTTAGTAAAAGCAGACATTGTTTTGAAAGTATCTTTTTGAACTAGGTTGTACATTTAATATGGTTTGGCTTTGTGTCCCCACCTAAATCTCACGTTGAATTGTAATTCCCAATGTTGGGGGAGGGACCTGGTGAGAGGTGATTGGATCAAGGGGGTGGATTTCTTCTTTCAGTTCTCGTGAGAGTGAGTTCTCACAAGATCTGGTTGTTTAAAGTGTGTAGCACAAAGTGAGTATGGTGGCTTAAGCCTGAAATCCCACCACTTTGGAGGCTGAGGCAGGCAGATCACTTGAGCCCAGGAGTTTAAGACCAGCCTGGGCAACATGGTGTAACCCCATCTCTACAAAAATTAGGCAGGTGTGGTGGTGCATGCCTGAAGTCCCAGCTACTCAGGAGGCTGAGGTGGGAGAATTGCTTGAGCCCAGGAAGTGGAAGCTGCGGTGAGTTGAGATCTTGCCATTGCTCTTCAGCCTAGGCAACAGAGTGAGATCTTCTCTAAAAAAAAAAAAAATGTGTATTATTTCTTTGGCCAGGTGCAGTGGTTCATACCTGTAATCCCAGCACTCTGGGAGCCCAGCCAGGCCAACATGGCAAAAACCCATCTCTATTAAAAATATAAAAAATTAGCCTCATGTGGTGGCACATACCTGTAATCCCAGCTACATGGGAGGCTGAACCCAGGAGGTGGAGGTTGTAGTGAGCTCAGATTGAGCCCCTGCACTCTAGTCTGGGCAACAGAACAAGACCTTCTCTCTCAAATAAAAAAAAAAAAAAAGAAAGAAAAAAAGTGTGAAGCACCTCCCCCTTCACAAGCGGATTCTCTCCCCACTCCCCGCTACCATATGAAGATGTGCTTGCTTTGCCTTCTACCATGATTGTAAAGTATCCTGATGCCTCCCCAGTCGTGCCTATTGTACAGCCTGAGCAACTGTGAGTCAATTAAACCTCTTTTCTTTATAAACTACCCAGTCTCAGGTAGTTCTTTATAGCAATGTGAGAATGCACTCATAACATTTAATGGTATCAGATTCAAAAGTTGCCAAAGGAAGGTGAAGAATCGCCAGGGAGCCTCCCTCTCACTCCGCTGCAGCCACTGTGGCTACCTCAGAGTCAGTTGCTGTCACTCATGTCTTGTGTATCTTTCCAGTGGTTGTCTATATTTATGTGTGCATGTGCACACTTTTTGAGACAGGGACTTGCTCTGTCACCCAGGCTGGAATGCATGATCATAGCTCACCACCACCTTGACCTCTTGGGCTTAAGCTATCCTCTCGCCTCAGCCTCCCAAGTAGCTGGGACTACAGGTGTGAACTACCATGGCTAGCTATTTATTTATTTCTATAGAGATGGGGGTCTCACTATGTTGCTTACTCTGGTCTCAAATTCCTGGCCTCAAGCAATCCTTCTACCTTGGCTTCCCAAAATGCTGGGATTATAGGTGTGAGTCACGGTATCTGGCCCTTACATTTTTTTTTTTTTTGTAAACACAAGTGAGCCATGTATTTTACCACCTGCCATCATTCGTGTTTGTTTAAGGTCTTTCTCTGTCATTATCATGCTAGTTTCTATTTTGTTCACTGCTGTGTCCCCAGCACTTAGAACAATGCCTGGCACATAGTAGATGCTCAGTATTTCTTGAATGCAAACACACCCAATAAACTAGGAATGAAGGAAAAATTAACCAATTGATAAAGACCATCTGCAAACCACCACCTCCACCCACCCCTGCCCAGCTAACATCATTCTTAGTGGTAAAAGACTGAAAATTTTCATCCTGAGTTTGAAACAAGACAAAGGTGTCTGTTCTCACCACTTCTATTCAACATCGTACTGGAGGCTGTAGCCAGGGAAATTAGGCGGGAAAACAAAACAGAAGGGATCCAGGTTAGAAAGAAGTATAACTATCTTTACTTGCCAATAATGTAATTCTGTATATAAAACATTTCAAGGAATCCAAACACAAAACTATTGGAATTTAAAAACAAATTTAGCCAAGCTGTAGGATACAAGGTCAATATGCAAACATCAGTTCGATTTCTATACATTGGTAATAGATACTATGAAAACGAAATCAGGAAAACAGTTCCTAAGGCATCAAAAATAATAAAATACACAGCAAAAAATTTATCAGAAGTATGATATACACTTAAAATTGTAAAACATCATGAAAGAAATTAAAGACAACTAAAATAAATGGAAAGATATCCTGTATTGATGGCTCGGAAGACTTAATATTGTTAACATGACAATAATTCTCAAATTGACATACAGATTTAATGCAATTCCTATAAAAATACAGCCGCCTTTTTGCAGAAATTGACAAGCTGATCCTGAAATTTATATAGAAATGCAAGTGACTCAGAATAGCCAAAGCAATTTTTTTTGTTGTTTTTTTGAGACAGGACCTCACTCTCTCACGAAGACTGGAGTATAGTGGAGCAATCTTGGCTCACTGCAACCTCCACTTCCCAGGCTCAATTGATTCTCCTGTCTCAGCCTCCTGAGTAGCTGAGGTTACAAGTGTGTGCCATTACCACCTGGCTAATTTTTGTATTTTTAGTAGAAATGGGGTTTCACCATGTTGGCCAGGTTGATCTTGAACTCCTGACCTCAAATGATTTACCCACCTTGGCTTCCCAAAGTGCTGGGATTACAGATGTGGGCCACGGCGCCTAGCCTCAAAGCAATCTTGAAAGAAAAAATCAAAATTGGAGGAATCACACTAACTTTCAAAACTTATTACAAAGTTACAGAATGAAGACAGTGTGGTATTGGCATAAGTATACACATATCGACCAATGAAATAGAATTTTGATTTAATAAATCCAACATCTATGGTTAATTGATTTTCAATGGATATCAAGAGTATTCAATGAGGGAAAGAATAACCTCTTAAATAAGTGATGTTGGGTCAACTGGATATTGATATGCAAAAGAATGAACTTAGACCCCTACTTCATACTGCATTCAAAAATTAACTCAAAATGGGTTAAAGATCTAAATGTGAAAGAGCTAAAAGATTCTTAGAATAATATGTAAGAGTAAATCACTAGGACCTTGAATTAGATGATTTCTTATGACACCAAAAATATAAGCAACAACAACACAAATAGACAAATTGGACTTTATCAAAGTTAAAAAAAACTTATATGTTTCAATGGATACCATCAAGAAAGTGAAAGGACAACCTACCAAATGAGAGAAAACACATCCACACAAAAGCTTGTATGCCAATATTCACAGCAGCAATCATTTATAATACTCAAAAGTGGAAACAGCCCAAATATTCCTCAGTAGATGAATCGATAAATAAAATGTGGTATACTCATACAATGGAATACTATTCTGCCATAAAAGGAATGAAGTTCTGATACATGCTACAATATGGCCATGCCTTGAAAACATGCTAAGTGAAAGAAGTCAGACAGCAAAGGCCACATATTGCATGGCTCCTTTTACATGAAATGTCCAGAATAGGCAAATCTAGAGGAGCAGAAAGTAGATTAGTGGTTATCAAGGGCTGGGGTTGGAGGCATTAGGGAGCGATTGGTAATGAAATGGGATTTCTTTTGGGGATGAATGAAAATGTTCTAAGATTAGTGGTGATATTTGTGTAACTTATGACTATATTAAAAACCACTGAATTGTATACTTTGAGAGGGTGAATTTTATGTTGCATCTCAATAAAGTTGTGATAAAACAATCCATTCTATATAAAACAAAATATTTGATAAGTGAATGAATGGATCTCTTCACATTATATGTACTTGAAAGTGTATCTTAGAGTTTGTTTCATGTCAGTACTTATTAGATACTGTACAATGTTTCTTTATTTTAAATGCACATTGATGGACATTTAAGTTGTTTCTAATCTTTTGCTATTGCAGGGAATGGTTCACTGAATATCCTTATATTCATGTCATTCCACAAAAACGTGGGTATTTATAAGATGAATTCCTGCAAGAGAAATTGCTAGGTCAAGGGGTGTGGACATTTTAAAGCATGAACTGATGTTGCCACATTGCTGAGTGTGAAGAAGGTGTACCTGTGCATGTTCCTACCAGCCATGTAGCAGTGAGCTTGTTTCGCACTCCTTCATCTGCACAGGGAGGTATCCAACCTCTGATCTCTGCCAAACTCATCAGTAAACCACGGTATCTCATTTTCATCTAAAGTTGCATTTCTCTCTGAGAAAGGCTGGAGGAATCATTTGCATTCCTTGTATTCTCAGAAGCTCTCCCTGCTGCATTAAGGTTGTAGGGTGCAGAGCAGTGTGGGAAAGTAGGATCGGGACTTTCTCCTCAGGGAATCCTTCCAGAACTTCCAGAACAGGGTATGAGTCATAATGTGAAACAGCTTTGCTGCCTTTCATCACGAATGTCTGCCGGGCGCCTTCTCTGTGTGGGATTCTGTTCCAGGTTCATGAAAGAGTGAAGGGAACTGATTGATCAGGAGGGCTCTCTCAGGGATTTAAAGGTCCTTCAACATTAGAAGTGTAGTCCTTCCAACTCTCATGCCTATACTTGGATTAAGAGGCACATATCAAGAGGCTCAGGGAAGTCAGTGGCCTGGTGTTAGGTCTACACATGTTAGATGGCATTGGTTGGGCTTCCCCAAACAAGAGTCAGGTAAAAGTACTGAAAGACTGATGAGAAACAACCTGCAGCTTTTTTATGTTTTCTTTCAGGAACTGTCTACCTTGACCATGCAGGTGCCACCTTGTTCTCCCAGAGCCAGCTTGAAAGCTTCACTAGTGATCTCATGGAAAACATTTATGGTAAAGAAAACGCCTAAAACGGGTTTTAGTCAACTACATGAAGCTGATACACCTATGTATACTAAATGTTGGATTAATAGACCGGGACTCTTCTAACTATAAAAAGCTGAATAAGCCCCATGTCAGTTAGGGGCCAGGCAAGCACTCTGGGTCATTCTGTGTTGTATATATGTGGCCGAGATGGAGGGAGCTGGCTCAGGGACAGACACATAGGTTACAACCAGAAGAAGGGGCCAGTGTCAGGAAGGGCACAGAGATTTAAAGCTGCTGTGTTTGGTGGTGGTGAGTGACCCCATACAGTACAGAGAGTGGGGTGGCAGGAGGGATGTTAATTCAGTCCTTCACTCCGTAACTGTGCACTGAGCCACTATGGTGTGTGGGGCACAGTGCTATAATGGGAACAAAATAAACACAGTCCCTTTCTTCTTGGACACTGTGGTCTAGTCCTGGAAGACAAGATCTTAAGTAAACTCCAAATAAATGTGATTACCAACTGTGTGAAGGATGGACAAAAGGTGCCTGGGTCCAGGGCAGCCTATATCTGCAGTGACAGTGGGCTTGGCTTATGCATGTCAGGAAAAGCTTCCTTTGGAGTAGAGTGGAATGGTTACTGGAGGATGAGCCAGAATTCACTCAGACAAGAGGAGGAGAAGTGTGAGCAGGCAAGGTAACAACCTGAGCTAAGATGCTGTAGTGGTTTCAGGAACCAGTCCAGGAACACAGAGGGAGGGAAGGAGAGCAGGAGAGGAAGCCAGTGCAGAGAGTTGTCGATGCTTGATCTTTGTTACAGGAACAATGGAGAGTCACCAGTGGCATTTATTAGCAGCACAACATGATCTACATATACCTTGGAAAGAAAATGTGAAATCATAGCAGCAGTAGCAATTGTAGCATTTGTGATGAGAATAGCGATAAATAACATTTACCAGGTACTTGCTATGAGCTTTCTCTCTTCAGTCTCACAACAATCAAAGAGGTATAGGTTCTGGTATCACTCCTGTTTTATAGGTAAAGAAATAGGGCCCCAGAGAGGGCAGGTAACTAGCCTGAGGCTGCTGAGGAAAGACTGGAGCTTAGGGGAGCTAGAAGCTTGCTTTCCAGGCAGTTTAGCTCCAGAGCCCAAGCTCTTAGCCTCCATCAGAGTGCTTCGATTCAGGATAGGTCTGTTCCACATTAAGGGGTTTGGATCTTGGCTCTGGGCAGCCAGCAGATTTAAATCTGATAAACAGTCTTCTGGGAAGGTGCCAAGGAGGGATTTATGTTGATTTTAATCTGCAATTTGCAAAGAGACCTGCAATTCTCCTTCTTTGACTTTTGCAAGAGTCATAACTGTGGGAAAGCCTGAGAGATGACAGAGTTGAGATTGCAGGTGGTCCTAATGATGCAGAGCTAAAGCCAAGCAGAGGAAAGGCAACGAGGATAATTACCAGGTCCCACAGGTTACTAGCAATGTGGAAACGGAACATGTAGCTGCAGTGAGCAGAAATCCAGTGTGATCTTTCAATGTATTTTGGAGAAAAAAACATCTAGAACAAAAGGGCCAAGCCTGCGTTAATGAGCACATGTAGTTCCTGAGAATTGCTGGTGCCCAGCCTTATAGGTCAGGCCCTACCAAAGCCTGTCTTGGGGTTAAATTTGAGGGAGATCATAATATTCTGGGACACACTTGGTGGGGATACTGGGAAGGGAGCAAAACTAGAAGTTAAGAGGAAGAGTGAAATTGGGAGGAGGGCATTTATCCTTGAGAGTAGGTGGCCAAGGGCTGCACAGTAGCCCCCTTCACATATTTGGAGGCCAGGATCAGTTATTTCTGTGGGAATAGTACCAGAAGTGGGGGTGGGATCTGCAGAACAGTAAATGGGAACTTAGATTTACTTAGTAACAGCCTCCTGAGGCTGTTACTGCATTCTCTGGAGCTAATGAACAAAGCCACTGGCCAACTCTCTGAAACTTGTAGAACAGACTCTTGCACTGGCTTGCTTTTGAGCTGACTTCCAGCTCTAAAATATTCTTCCCGATCCTATTTAGTTTTACTAGTGAGGAGAGGGTTTTTTTTATTTATTTTTTAAAACATATCATAAAATTTGCCAGCTAAGTACAGTGTCTCAGGCCTATAATCCCAGTGCTTTGGGAGGCCAAGGTAGGAGGATTGCTTGAGCCCAGGAGTTCAAGGCAAGCCTGGGCAGGATAGCAAGAGCCTATCTTTACAAAAACAAAAATTAAAAAAATTAGCCAGGTGTGGTGGCACATGCCTATGGTGCCAGCTGTTCAGGAGGCTGAGGCAGGAGGATCCCTTGAGCCCAGGAATTCAAGGTTGTAGTCAGCTATGATCATGCCACTTGTACTCCAGCCTGGGTGAAAGAGTAAGATTCTGTCTCTCTAAAGTAGTCAATTTCAGGTGTCCAATGGTGATTTTTAGTAATTGATCTAGTGATGCAATTGTCACTATACTTCAGTTAGATGTTTTTATTCCTCCAGTAAGATCCCTCATGCCCATTACAGCTAATCCTTGTTGCTGCCCTCAGCCCCAGGCAACTGCTAATCTACTTCTTTCTGTACCTCTCTACAAGTCTTTTGCTGGACATTTTATGTAAATTGATTAATGCATTATGTGTATTCTTGTGTCTGGAGTCTTTCACTTAGCATACTTTTGAAGTTCATTCATGACACAGCCAGGAGTTTGTTCCTTTTTATTGGCAAATAACTTCCCTGGCTAGGTGCGGAGGCTCATGCCTTTAATCCCAGCACTTGGGGAGGCTGAGGTAGGAAGATTGCTTGAACTCAAGAGTTTATGACCAGCCTGGGCAACATAGTGAGATCTCATCTCTACAAAAACTAATTTTAAAAAGTTAACCATGTGTAGTGGTGCACATCTGTAGTGCCAGTTACTCAGGAGGCTGAGAAGGGAAGGATCCCTCGAGCTCAGGAGTTTGAGGTTACAGTGAGCTATGATCATGTCACTGCCCTGCATCCTGGGTGACAGAGCAAGAGAGCGAAAAGCCAAATCACTTTTTATTTTATGGACATAGCATATTTTGTCTATTTGTTCACCCATTGATGGACATTTACGTTGTGTCCAGAATTTGGCTTTCTGAATAAAGCTACTATGAACATTCTCATGCAAGTCTGTATGGACATAAGTTTTCACTTTTGAGGGGTAGAAATCTAGGAGCAGAATTATTAGGTGATATGATAGTTTTATGTTGAGCTTTTTGAGAAACTGAGGGAGTGGCTTTGGAAGGAACACAGAAGAAGAGACCATAAGTAGTGACTTGGTGGCCTTGTCTTTGTAATCTGCCAGGTAATCCTCACAGCCGGAACATCAGCAGCAAGCTCACTCATGACACTGTGGAGCAGGTGCGCTACAGGTAAGCGTCAGGGATACCTGCCTGACTGGGCATACCTGGGCGGACAGTCTTCCTTCCTACGACTTGCCTGCACCCCACAAAGATTCTGAGTTGGTTTCAGGAGGATCGTAGTAGGCTAAAAGGCAGTGCACGCATCATGACAAACATCAGGGTCAGAGCTCAGGAAGGCAGGGGGGAGTAGGTACAGGGTGGGGCAGATGAGACGCACAGGCGGGTGGCTGTGAGGTGCACACAGCTGTTCTGTGTGGCTCCAGAGACACTGCAGTACAGAGTGACAGGGAGTGACCCAGGAGCCTAGGTCTTGTTTTCAGAAAGAAGAAAAGTACTCTTTCTCTGGTTTTCCTTTTCATAAGAAGCTTTATTAGGCATCTTGTTTTCTTCCTGTCTTTTTTCCCTTTTTTTTTTTATGAGTATTTGTATGTTAAATAGCTCTCTATACTTTCTATACATAATAGTATCTGACAAATAATTTCCAGGTGGTACTTAAAATTATTAACACAATTTCAAGTTATTTCAAATTTGAAAGTGATACTGTTTTGCTATTAGGGTTGCCAAAATTAAAAGCAATGTAAACAGATTGATTACTACTTAAACCTTGTTATGTTAGAGCTGGGTAGAAAGCACCAAGGAAAGAGGGTATTATTAACTCTGATTAAGTTTATTGTGGCTTTTTGTCATATGTAATTGGAGATATCCAGTGATATTTGGGAGTTAAGGGGATTTTGCCAACTGGAAGTCATTCCCACAGCTTCCATTGCCCCTGCCCTACTTTCACAGCTGTGGCAAAGCCTATCCGGAGTTTCTGCTAGCCATGAAGGTAAAGCTGTCATAGTTAATAGAAATAAAACAGCCTGCAAACATTCAGCACTGGGGCTGAGATCCGGGGGTTGCGGGGATGCTGTGCTTCTTCCAGAATCCTGGCGCACTTCCACACCACCGCAGAGGACTACAGTGTGATCTTCACTGCCGGGAGCACGGCTGCTCTCAAACTGGTGGCAGAGGCCTTTCCGTGGGTGCCCCAGGGCCCAGAGAGCAGTGGGAGTCGGTTCTGTTACCTCACCGACAGCCACACTTCTGTAGTGGGCATGAGGAACGTGACCATGGCCATGAATGTCATGTCCACCCCAGTCAGGCCAGAGGACCTGTGGTCTGCAAAGGCACGTCGTGCTTCAGCCAACGACCCAGACTGCAAGTTGCCTCATCTCTTCTGCTACCCAGCTCAGAGTAACTTTTCTGGAGCCAGATACCCCCTGTCCTGGATAGAAGAGATCAAGTCTGGGTGGTTGTGCCCTGTGAGCACACTTGGGAAGTGGTTTGTGCTGCTCGACGCAGCCTCCTACGTGAGCACCTCGCCTTTGGATCTGTCAGCTCACCAGGCCGACTTTGTCCCCATCTCCTTCTATAAGATCTTCGGGTTCCCTACGGGCCTGGGGGCTCTGCTGGTCCATAATCGTGTGGCTCCTCTACTGAGGAAGACCTACTTTGGAGGAGGCACAGCCTCTGCCTACCTAGCAGGAGAAGACTTCTACATCCCGAGGCCGTCAGTGACTCAAAGGTAACCTTGCCACAGGGGAGGGACCAGAGGATTTAGCAAGGTGGGGGCTGGCCTGTTTCCCCTGGAGGATTCTGCAAGGGGTAGGTCTGGCTTTGGGGGTCAGGAGAATTCAGGTTGCTGGCAGGGACAGGCTGATGATAGGGCTTATATCTGGGAGGCAAAGGTTGGCTGGAGGTAACACAGGTGGTTCAGTGAACTCTGCTCCCGTTTGAGGGCTTCTCCAGAGCTGTGAGAGGACCGGGGCCTGCAGATAAGAACTGCATACAGGAGAGGTGAGAGGCCCTCAAGGGTGAGCTACCAGGTCTTTGCCCTCAGCACTGACAAGAGGTTGCAGCAGTTGAAACAATAGCTTTAAAAGGTGGCACCGTTTGGAGCAAGTCTGCCCACACATTGACAGCACAGCTGGTTCTCCAGCAGCTAGGATCAGCTCAGCCTGGCACTTAGCAGGAAGAATCAGGTAAAGCAGAGGCCTCCAGACTTGTGGCAGTGTTAGCAGCAGCCTCTGTGAGCCCCACCGTGAATGAGTTACAGACAGAGGAGTCTGGATGCAGGCTGTCACTTGCCCTCAAATGCCAGAGGCCTCTGCCTGGGTGGTTGGCATATGCCTCTTCCCCAGGCTGCAAGGGCAGGTGGTGTGGGTTATGCCCAGGAATCTTTCAGATGGTGATGGCTGAGACCTGTAAGGTTGAGTGTGTCAAGGCTGAAAATGGTGGCTGACCCAGGGTTCTGCTGGGTCAACAGTGGGGACACAGGTTTGGGTAGACAACTAATTACCTACGGGGGCCAGAGAAGGCCTCAGGCCTAGATGGGAAGAGCTTTAGATCCCCCATGGACCCCACACAGACTCAAGGGTCCTGCACATAGGGCCACAGCCTTGACAATAGAGTCATCGTTAGCTGTGTAGGCCTATGGCTGGACCTCTGGGGAGTGAGTTCCCACTCCTCCACAGCACAGCAGTGAGGGGATGTGTAACTTGTTCTCTGTACCTCATGTGTTTTCTGTAAAGTAGAAATGATAATATTGTTCTTTTAAAGCTAACATAGGTGATGCATCAGAATGGTGGGGATCAAGGTTAGGAGGCTATTTAATGTCTCTTTTATTTAGGACTTGTCCATAGTTGGGGGGCTTCTAAGACAGGAATGCTCATGTAAAACCTTTTGACTCCAAGCGTGATAATTTGCCATGTGGTAGAACCAAGTGAGAAACAAATGCCAGGCATAACATAATGTAAGTTACAGGCAGAACAAAATGATGCCTCAAATTTAATTTGGCCACTAAGGGTCCCTGAAGGACAAGAGAAGTGGGGCAGGTCACTGGGGGCCAGGGCATGGTTGGGCTGGGGGGATCAGACCTCTTTCCTTTGATTCAGGTGGATGACTTTACAGCAGATGACACACCAATATTCTTAGAAAGCTGAATATACTTATTTACCATTATAAGCCATTTTTTTTTTCCTTAGAAACTTAGGACCAGAACTCAAGAGATTTACTACTCAACCTAAAGTTTTTATTGAATGGGCACCTTGACTGTGTTCTTAACTTTATGTATTTTATGACTCAGTGAAATACATCCCTTGATAGAAACAAAAAACTCCTATTTTATTCTAAGGAAGAATCTAATAAGTATTTGATCAATACATAATTTACAACTAATAACTAGATAGTTAAAAACATTTTGTAAAGATGAGGTCTTGCTATGTTGCATAGGCAGGTGGTTTCAAACTCCTGGCCTCAAGTGATCCTCCCACCTGGGCCTCCCAAAGTGTTGGGATAACGGGCATGAGTCACTGCACCTGGCCACCCTAGGAAATTTAAAGCAGCCCAAGAAAACTGCAGAGTGGGTCAGGGCTAGAGGCAGCCAGACAGTCTTGGTGTAAAAAGCCCCTTCTCCTGTAGGGGAGGGCAATGTTTTATAAGATAGCAGAGGGAAGGTATTAATAGATTACAGCTGTATCAGTCCAATTTCACACTGCTGTAAAGATAACTACCCAAGACTGGGTAATGTATAAACAAAAGAGGTTTAATTGGCTCACAGTTCTGCATGGCTGGAGAGGCCTCGGGAAACTTACAATCACAGTGGAAGGGGAAGCAGGCACCTTCTTCACAAGACAGCAGGAGAGACAGAGAAGAGCCCAGGGGAACTTCCATTGATAAAACCATCAGATCTTGTGAAAACTCCCTCACTATCATGAAATGAGAACAGCATGAGGGAAACCACCCCCATGATCCAATCACCTCCTACCAGGTCCATCCCTCGACACCTGGGGATTACAATTAGAGATGAGACTTGGGTGAGGACACAAAGCCAACCCATATGAACAGCTAAGTCTAAAATCTAAACCACATTATATACCATAAAATGCACATGGATTGCATTGGCCACAGCTTGACCTGTTCTCCTCACCCTGTGGTTGTAGGTTTGAAGATGGCACTATCTCATTCCTTGATGTGATCGCGCTAAAACATGGATTTGACACCCTGGAGCGCCTCACAGGTCAGTGGATGTTTCTAACCCTGTAAAATTTCCTCCTGCTGTTTTGTCCTTGAGGGAGCCCTGGCTCAAGTGTGATTCAGATGAGGGAGACAGAGTCTGTGGACATGACTGGCACTCCATCCAGCTACATTTGATTCCAAGTAACTTCAAAACTACTTCAGAGAGCAAGAGAATGAGGTGGAGCTTTTTGGACTGTTTTTTGTTTTGTCAGCTAAAATAACATTTTAACAGGTAGAAGACATTCCAAATCAGTAGATTGCTAGCTTCACAGAATGGAAGAGCCTCCCTGGGTCCTGGTAATGGTTACAGATCCTGAGGCCTTTACCTGCTCTTGCCTTTCTGGGTCCACCCCAGTGACCCATGGGGGAACTCTGCCTGTGAACGAGCTGATGCTCAGAGAGGTTAAATGCCTTCCAGGCCAGGGAGGTGGAAACCAGGAAGGCTAGGATTTAACTCAGGTCATACTGATGCCTAACCATGAGCTCTCAACTGACAGTCTTCACGTGAGGCATGCTTTCTTTCCTGGCCAGTGCTCTTTTATCACAGGAAGGGGATCCTTCAGTTCCTTAGCCTTAGTTCAACATTAGGGGCAGACGAGGTGAGTGGGCATGATCCAGGACAAAGGGAGGAGTCAGTAAAGACAGACAAAGGGAGGAGTCAGTAAAGCACTGAGAAATGAGCACTTTCCAAGGAAAGATATTAACAGGGCCCCCAAACTGCAAGTGACGGGGTCTAACAGGGCTGGGCACCTCTGAATACAAAGGTTGACTGTACCAGTCCACAAGATAGCAAGCCCTGATTTTTTTTCCTACGTAATTGATCCTTTATTTAAAAAAAAAATTGTGGTAAAATATACATAACATAAAATTTACCATTTTAACTATTTTTAAGTATAGAGCTCAGTGATGGTAAGTACATTCACAATGTCAAGCCACCATCACCACTGTCTATTTCCAGAACTTTTTTTTTTTTAATTGTACTTTAGGTTCTGGAGTACATGTCTGGATCATTCAGGACTGTTGCATAGGCATGCATGGCAATGTGATTTGCAGCCTCCATCCCCCCGTCACCTATATCTGGCATTTGTCCCCATGTTATCCATGCCCAACCTCCCCACCTCCTGCTGTTCCTCTCCTAGCCCTCCCCAGCAGACCCCAGTGTGTGATGCTCCCCTCCCTATGTCCATGTGTTCTCATTGTTCAACACCAGCCTATGAGTGAGAATATGCGGTGTCTGATTTTCTGCAGAACTTTTTTTTTTATCATCCCAAACAGAAACTCTGTACCTATTAAACAATAACTCCCTATTCCCTCCTCCCCCTTCAGCCCTTAGAACTACTTTTTGTCTCTGTGGATTTGCCTTTTCTTGGTAACTCATAAATAGAATCATACAACATTTGTTTTTTTGTGTTTGGCTTCACTTAGCATGTTTCCATTGTTCATTCATGTTGAAGCATGTATTCTTCATTGCTTTGTGTAGTGTTAAAATGATTTAAACATAAATAAATAAAAATAGCAAAAATATGTTTAGAGAAAAAAATGTACATTTTGTGATCTGTTACCAAACGGTCTGAATATCTAAGTATTTAAATCACATTTTATATAAACAAAGAGGATGACAGGAATGCCTATGGAGAAATTCTGTTGTTCATTACTGAAGACCTAAACATTTGTCATAAGGGCAGTACCATCCACTACTTACATGCATTTAAAATCATTAATGCGAGGTCCAGGTTTGCCAGTTATAACAAAGTTGTTTTCTTAAAAGTGAGTTAATGGGGCCAGGTGTGGTGGCTCATGCCTGTATACCCAGCATTTTGGGAGGCTGAGTCAGACAGATGACTTGAGCCCAGGAGTTTGAGACCAGCCTGGGCAACATGGTGAAACTCCATCTCTGCAAAAAATACAAAAATTAGCCAGGTATGGTGGTGCATGCTGGTAGTCCCAGTTGCTTGGGAGGCTGAGGTGAGAGAATCACCCGAGCCCAGGAGGTTGAGGCTGCAGTGAGCCGTGATCGTTCCACTGCACTCTAGCCTGGGTGACAAAGTGAAACCCTGTCTCAAAAAAAAAAAAAAAAAAGGGAATTTACATAAAGCTCATGATTCTCTTGTTTTTCATGATTGATTTGAGGTGGAATGGAGAATATCAAGCAGCACACCTTCTCCTTGGCTCAATATACATACGCGGCCCTGTCCTCTCTCCAGTACCCCAACGGAGCCCCTGTGGTGCGGATTTACAGCGATTCTGACTTCAGCAGCCCTGAGGTTCAGGGTCCAGTCATCAATTTTAATGTGCTGGATGACAAGGGGAACATCATTGGTTACTCCCAGGTGGGTTTTCTTTGTATCCTGCCGACCTTGTTACAACTCGTCTGAGTTCCGGATGAGAGCAATACTGTGTAACAAAGTCCACACACTTGAAGAGGCCACCTGGCCCTCAGCCACAGCCTTTCACTCTCATTCACCCTTGCTTTGCAGCCCTCTTTACCTAGCCAAAGTGGTAACTTTCAAGTAGGAGGAAAGAGGCCAGTTCCTCTGAATGCAGTGGAAGGGGACACCTGACAGCTTGTAGCAGGGGTGACACTTTTGTATACACTATAGTATGTACAGAAAGGTAGTGCAGACAGAACACTGTGGCTGAGGTCATTTCACGTCCAGAGTCATCCAGAGTCCGGTGGTTCCTGCGATGTGCCAGACCATATTACAGCATCCCATAAAATCAGAGGCTTGTTACCACCCTTTGTTTGGATATTGTTTGGAACTCAAAAGCCCTTTCTTTTGAGATGCTGAAATCATCATTTAGTATCACAGAAGCCCTATTTCTACCTTAGTTTATGCATCTTGTGAATTCAAAGGATATGGTGAGTTGGCTAAAAGTAGTTTCTACAGGTATAGCCATAAAAAATGCCCATAGTGGCTTACAGGTAGGGAACGGCTGGGTCTTTGCCATAGTTGAGTAAGCTACTCACTTCACTTCCTGGTCCACTAAAATGTCCAGAATTGCACTGAGCACTCAGGCATGGTGGTAGGTAGTTACCAGATGGGGTGTCACAGATAGACATCAGGAACCAAAGGTCCCTTCTGGAGCAGCTCTGTGGGGAACAGATTTGATTGTTGAATGATTGGAAGATGATGCTGGGTTTCCCTTGAAACCACATCCGCCTCCACATTTTTTTTTTTTTTTTTAAAGATAGAGTTGCTCTTTCAGCCAGGCTGGAGTGCGATGGCATGATCTTGGCTCACTGCAACCTACACTTCTCAGGTTCAAGCAATTCTCATGCCTCAGTCTCCAGAGTAGCTGGAATTAAGGCACACATCAGCACACCTGGCTAATTTTTCTATTTTTAGTACAAAAAATTTTTATATTTTTAGAGACGGCATTTTGCTATTTTGGCCAGGCTTGTCTCGATCTCCTGACTTCAGGTGATCCTGCCTTGGCCTCCCAAAGTGCTGGGATTACAGGTGTGAGCCATTGTATCCAGCCCACTTTTTTTTTTAAACGAAGAAAAAAGGTTTATTTGGCCCATGGTTCTGCTGACTGGAAGACTGGGCATCAGTGGATGCCTTAGGCTGCTTCCACTCCTGGAGGAAAGCGAATTGGAGCTCGTATGTGCAGCCAGAGAGGAAGCAAGAGAGAGGGCGAGGGAGGTACCTGGTTCTTTATTTTTATTTTATTTTTCCTTCCAACTTTTTTTTTCCTTTTTGGGGTGTAATCTTGCTCTGTCACCCAGGCTGGAACGCAGTAGCATGATCTGAGCTCACTGCAACCTCCACCTCTTGGGTGATTCTCCCACCTCAGCCTCCTGAGTAACTGGGACTACAGGCGTGTGCCACCCTGCCTCGGTACTTTTTGTATTTTAGCAGAGATGAGATTTCACCATGTTGGTCAGGCTGGTCTCAAACTCCTGACCTCAGGTGACCTGCCCGCCTCAGCCTCCCAAAGTGCTGGGATTACAAATATGAGCCACTGTGCCTGGCATTCTTCCAACTTTTATTTTAGGTTCAGGGGACACATGTGCGGGTCTATTACATGGGTACCTGATAGGTAGTTTCTCAATCTTCCCTCCTCCCACCTTCCACCCTCAAGTAGGCCCTGGTGCCTGTGGTTTTCTTCTTTGTGGCCATGTGTACTCAATGTTAGCTCCCACATGTAAGTAGAAACATGCAGTATGTGGTTTTCTGTTCCTATGTTAATTCACTTAGGAGAATGGCCTCCAACTGCATCATGTTGCTGCAAAGGACTGGTTTCATTTTTTTATGGCTGTGTAGTATCTCATGGTGTGTATATACCACATTTTTTTTAATCTATCAATCATCAATATAGGTTGATTCCATGTCCCTACTATTGAAAAAAGTGCTGCAATGAACATACGTATACATTTGCCTTTATGGTAGAATGATTTATATTCCTTTGGGTATACGCCAGTAATTTAATTAAGGAATTGGGATGGCTGGATTCAATGGTAGTTCTGTTTGTCTGTTTGTTTGTTCGTGACAGTCTCGCTCTCTCACCCAGGCCGGAGTGCAGTAATGCAATCTCGGCTCACTGCATTCTCCGTCTCCCAGGTTCAAGCAAATTCCTTCCTCAGCCTCCCAAGTAGCTGGGATTACAGATGTGCACCACCACACCTGGTTAATTTTTGTATTTTTAGTAGAGATGGGGTTTTACCATGTTATTCAGGTTGGTCTCAAACTCCTGGCCTCATGTGACCCACCCACCTCAGATTCTCAAAGTGCTGGGATTACAGGCATGAGCCAACACACCTGGCCAATGGTAGTTCCGTTTTAAGTTCTTTCAGAAATCTCCAGATTGCTTTCCACAGTGGCTGAGCTAATTTACATTCCCACCAGTAGTGTATAAGTATTTCTTTTTATCCACATCCTCACCAGCAAATATTATTTTTTGACTTTTTAATAATACCCTTTCCAACTGGTGTGAGATGGCATCTCATTGTAGTTTTGATTTGCATTTCTCTCATGATTAGTGATGTTGAACATTTTTTCATATGCTATTGGCTGTGTGTATGTCATCTTTTGTTAAGTGTTCATGTTCTTTGCCCATTTTTAATGAGATTGTTTTTTGCTTGTTGATTTAAGCTCCTTATGGCTTCCAGATATTAGACCTTGATTAGACACATAGTTTGCAAATATTTTCTCTCATTCTGTAGGTTGTTTACTGTGTTCATAGCTTCTTTTGCTGTGCAGATGTTCAATGTTTAATTAGGCCTTATTTGTCAATTTTTTCTTTTGTTGAAATTGCTTTTGGAGTCTTTATCAGGAAGTCTTTGCCAAGGCCTATGTCCAGAATGATTTTCCTAGGTTTTCTTCTAGGATTTTTATAGTTTTAGGTTTTACATTTAAGTCTTTAATCTATCTTGAGCTGATTTTTGTATTTGGTAAAAGGAAAGGGTCCAGTTTCAATCTTCTGTGTATGGGTAGCCAGTTACCTCAGCACCATTTATTGAATAGGGAATCTTTTCCCCATTGCTTGTTATTGTCTACTTTGTCAAAGATCTGATGGTTGCAGGTGTGTGGCTTTATTTCTGGGTTCTGTAACCTTTTTCATTGATTTATGTGTCTGTTTTTATACTAGAACCATGCTGTTTTGATTATTGTAGACTTGTAGTATAGTTTGATATCAGGTAATGAGATGCCTTCAGCGTTATTCTTTTTGCTTAAGATTGCTTTGGTTATTTAGGCTCTTTTTTGGTTCCATATGAACTTTAGAATGGTTTTTTTCCTAATTCCATGAAAAATGACATTGGTAGTTTGCTAGGAATAACATTGACTCTGTAAATTGCTTTGGGCAGTATGGCAATTTTAACAATACTGATTCTTCCTATCCATGAGTATGGAATGTTTTTCCATTTGTGTGGTATCTGATTTCTTTGAGCAGTATTTTGTAATTCTCATTGTAGATACCCTCCCTGGTGAGGTGGATTCCTAAGTATTTTATTCTTTTTGTGGCTATTGTAAATGTGATTTCATTCTTGATTTGGCTCTCAGCTTGGACATTATCGGTGTTTAAAAATGCTACTGATTTTCATGCATTGATTTAGTATCCTGAAACATTATTGAAGTTGTTTATTAGTTCTAGGAGCCTTTGAGCAGAGATTATGGGATTTTCCAGGTATAAAATTATGTTATCAGTGAAGAGAGATAGTTTGACTTCTTCTCTTCCTGTTTGGATGTCTTTTATTTCTTTCTCTTGTCTAATTTCTCTGGCTAGGTCTTCCAGTATTATGTTGAAAAGGAATGGTGAGAGAGGGAATCCTTGTCTTATGTCAGTTTTCAAGGGAAATGCTTCCAGCTTTTGCCCATTCAGTATGATGTTGCATGTGGTTTTGTCATAGATGGCTCTTGGGCTCTTGTTATTTTGACATATGTTCCTTGGATTCCTAGTTTGTTGAGAGTTTTTAACTGAAGGGATGCTGAATTTTGTTATAAGCCTTTTCTGTGTCTGTTGAGATGATCATGTGGTTTTTGTTTTTAGTTTTGTTTATGTGATAAATCACATATATTGATTTGTGTATGTTGAACCATCTTTGCATCCCAGGAATAAAGCCTACTTGATTCTGGTAGATTAGCTTTTTTTTCCTTTTTCTCCTTTCTTTCTTTCCCTTTTTTTTTTTTTTTTTTTTTTTTTTTTTTTTTTTTTTTTTTTTTTTTTTTTTTTTNTTGAGACAGTGTGTCGCCCAGACCGGAGTGCAGTGGTATGATCTTGGTTCACTGCAGCCTTGACCTCCCTGGCTTAAGCGACCCTCCCATCCCAGCTTCCTGAATAGCTGGGACTACAGGTACATGCCACCATGCCCAGCTAATTTATTCTAATAGATTTTTGTGGTACAGGTGGTTTTTGGTTACATGGATAAGTTCTTCGGTGGTGATTTCTGAGATTTGGATACACACATCACCCGAGCAGTGTACACGCTGTACCCAGTATGTCGTCTTTTATCCCTCCCCTGCCCCACCCTTCCCCGAGTCCCCAGAGTCCATTATGTCATTCTTACGCCTTTGCATTCTCATACCTTAGCTCCCACTTATAAGTGAGAACATATGATATTTTGTTTTCCATTCCTGAGTTATTCCACTTAGAATAATGGCCTCCGGCTACATCCACGTTGCTGCAAAGACCATTATTTTGTTTCATTTTATGGCTGAGTAGTATTCTATGGTGTATATATACCACATTTTCTTTATTCACTTGTTGGTTGATGGGCATCGAGGTTGGTTCCATATTTTTGCAATTGTGAATTGTGCTGCTATAAACGTGTGTGTATGTGTCTTTTCCATTTAATGACTTTTTCTTTGGGTAGATACCCAGTAGGGTACTCACCTGGCTGATTTTTTGGTATTTTTTGTAGAGACAGGGTTTTGACATGTTGTCCAGGCTGGTCTTGAACACCTGAGCTCAAGAAATCTGCCCACCTTGGCCTCCCAAAGTGCTGAGATTACAGGTGTGCACCACTGTGCCTGGCTGGATTAGCTTTTTAATGTGCTGCTGGATTTGATTTGTTAGTATTTGTTGAGGATTTTTGTGTCTATGTTCACCATGGGTATTGGCCAGAAGTTTTCTTTCTTCGTCTCTGCCATATTTTGGTATTAAAATGACACTGGCCTCATAGAATGAGTTAGGGAGTCAAATCCACATTTGTTAAACCCCAGATTTCCCAAACAAAATTTGTTTCCCAAGGAATCTTTTCTCCCACTTTTCTGAATAGCCATGAACTTTCTAAAGAATACACTTGGGAAATATTCTTTTGGGGGAGATGTTGGTCCTCACTGGTGTTCAGGGGCAAACACTGTACAGCCACAGGTGGTCTATCAAGTATGTCAGCTGTGCAGACCCCTCGTCCCCACTGCCCTTAGCTGGCAGTACTGGCAGAACCAGCCCTGACACTACTAAGAAGTTTTATTTTAAATGTTTTTGGAGGGGGTAAGGTGGAAAATGCATCAGAGGCAAAAGGTTTGCCTTCTTAAATGTGTTATTCTAGGTAATTGGTAACATAAATTTTATTCTTGAAACAAAAGTAAATGTGGCTGGGCATGGTGGCTCACACCTGTAATCCCAGCACTGGGAGGCCAAGGTGGGTGGATTGCCTGAGGTCAGGAGTTTGACTAGCCCGGCCAACATGGTAAAACCCTGTCTCTACTAAAAATACAAAAATTAGCTGGGTGTAGTGGTGCACACCTGTAATCCCAGATACTCAGGAGGCTGAGGCAGGAGAATCACT